GTGTGTGTGTGTGTGAGTGTGTGTGTGAGTCTGTACACTGCATCTGGAGAGTGTTGGCAGCGCTTCAGTTTCTCCACATGTGTTTATGTTACACTCTTATTCCACAATGGATTCACTTGATTAACGCCAAAGCCTGTGATACTGATGCACATCTGATTATTCAGCTTTTTATTCTTAATAAATCTGCAACTATTTCTAAAACTCTCTCCACATGGTCATTATGGGGGATTGTGTGTAGAATGTTGAGGAAATCAAATTTGGAATACGGCTGTAACATAAACACATGGAGACAAAGTCAAGCCGGATGCAGTGTACTTGTGTGTGTGAGTGGGTGTTTGTGTTTGTTGGTGTGTTAAACCCTGTATTAATATACAAATGTCCCCACAAATATATCAAAACCAGTAACTGTAACTTTATGGGGACATGTTCTGGTCCTCATGAGGCACACAGGGCTGATGAATGGAGGAGTGTGGAGATGAAGGAGTGCGGAGTGTGTGCTGTGAGGGGTGAGGAGAGAATATACAGTCTGTACAGCACAAACGTCAGCTGTGTGTGTGTGTGTGTGTGTTTGATCCTCAGCTATGCCTCAAAGCCCAGTGAGGACTACGAGGACCCTCAGGATGTGGAGGGCATCCGTGCGGCTCGGGAGAATCTGGGCGACTGTAAGCTGAAGTCTGCAGAGGACTTCACCGTTCCTGAACACCTGAGGATGAACGTGGAGAAGAAGAGAGCGCAGCTGCTGGAGCTGGAGAGGAAGGTCAACACACACACACACACACACACACACACACACATCAAAGCATTTCGAGCGGAGTGTATGCCAGTGTCTTTGAGCAGCTCGTGCGTCTGTGTCCTGCAGATCTTTGAGCAGAAGTCTGAGATGAACCTGCGTGTGCTGGCGCTGCGGGACCAGAAGGTGGCGCTGCTGTCTGAGCTGCAGGCGCAGGTGGAGCAGCTGCAGGCCGTCCAGCAGACCCTGCCGCTCCAGAAGCACCGCCCGCTGCCCGCGCTGCCCGTCCTGCTGCCCGCCGAGGTGCCCGAGAGGAGGCACCGCTACACCCGCGCCACCCTGGAGCGCTTCAACACGCTGAGACTGCAGGAGGAGCAGGACATCCTGGAGCTGCTGGAGGCGCAGGACACACACACAGAGGAGGACACACACACCCAGAGCCAGGACACACACGCGGTGGAGGACACACACTCTCAGCAGGAGGAGCTGACACTGCTGGAGGAGCAGATGAGGGAGATGGAGGAGGCCAGGGGACTGAACCTGCAGGAGCAGCTGCTTACACAGGTCACACACACACACACACACACGCACACACACACACACACACACACACTGACGGCTCTGTGTGTGTCACTGCAGATGCAGGACAGTGTGTGTCGCTTCGATGCGGAGCTGTGTGTTCTGCGTCATGAGAAGCAGCAGCTGGACGTGAGTCTGAAACTGGCGGACCTCCGACACGTGACGCTGTTCGAGGAGCTGCTGCTGCTAAGGGACTTCCAGAAGAGGGAGGAGAAGCTGACCGAGAGACTGCGCACATACCGGCAGGAGGAGGACGACATACAGGTCAGTGTGTGTGTGTGTGTGTGTGTGTGTATCTTGTATTCTGTAGGTTGTGGGGCCCAAATGTCCCCACAAGTATGGCATTACCAGTACACGTTAACCTTGTGGGGACATTTTTTAGTCTCTATGAGGAAAAGGGCTCATAAATCAGACAGAATAAGTATTGTGTGTGTGTGTGTGTGTGTGTGTGTGTGTCAGGGCCGCATGCGTGAGTGTCAGCGTCAGATGGAGCTGAGGAAGCGTGATGTTCAGCGTCTGCAGAACAGAGAGAAGAGCATCTCCACCTCCTTCCAGACGTCTCTGGGGGAGAACCAGCGCTTCGAGGAGTTTCTGACCCGCGTCTTCAAGAAGAAGATCAGGAGGACCAAGAAGAAAGAGACACACACCGCTCAAGGTGCTGCTCCACATCATACACTCACGCTGTTAACACAATCCGGGCGGCACAGTGGTGCAGTGGGTAGCACTATCGCCTCACAGCAAGAAGGTCTCTGGTTTGAGTCTCGGCTGGGTCAGTTGGTGTTTCTGTGTGGAGTTTGCATGTTCTCCCCGTGTTGGTGTGGGTTTCCTCCGGGTGCCGTATGAGTGTGTGTGTGTGAATGAGTGTGTATGGGTGTTTCCCAGTACTGGGTTACAGCTGGAAGGGCATCCACTGTGTAAATCATTAGCTGGAATAGTTGGCGGTTCATTCCGCTGTGGCGACCCCTGATTAATAAAGGGACTAAGCTGAGGGAAAATTAGTGACTGAATGAATGAATGGATGAGTGAGTGAGTGAGTGAGTGAGTGAGTGAGTGATGTATTCTCACCACTCCAGATTCAGATCCAGCCCTCACTGAAGAACACGTGTGTGTGTGTGTGTGTGTGTGTGTGTTATCGCTCTGCTGGGCGTCAGCACTCATCTGTTGTGTTGATCTGCTCCTGTTAGATGGAGATCAGTCTGAGGATGAAGAGGACAGTGATGAAGACTCTGATGAAGACTCAGACGCAGAGGATGAGGACGACTATGAGGAGTCTGAGGCTGGAGCTGCACTGGACGACACTGTGTGTCCACCGAGTAAGATCAACACACACACACACACCCACACACACACAGACACATATACAAGTTTATTTTATGTGTGTGTGTGTGTTTACATGCATGTGTGTGTGTGTGTGTGTGCTGCAGACTGTGACGCTGCGCTCTTCGAGAACACACTGCGTCTGCGGGATCTCCGTGTGGATGTGGAGGAGCAGCTGCAGGACCAGATGAAGACGCTCGACACCCTGAAGAAGGACTACGACACACTGAGCAAGAAGGTGACAGGAACACACACACACACCATACATGCACACACACACACACACACACACACGTGCACACACACAGCTTTCCTTCTGTCCATCCAGCCTAAAGAGTGTGCATGTGTGTGTGTGCATGCAT